AAAAGGCCCACCAAAGTTACTCTTTAAAACCCTAGCTAGCTCCATTCTCTCTGTAAAGTTGGTATTTTTATCCCTATCTTCGTCTTTCAGCTTCTGCGATTCATGTTTTTACTTCTATTTCTCTTTTATGGACACGCTTGGTTTCTTAGTAGTTGAAACACAGAAAGGGACAGTGACGATTTTGATTGAAAGGTCTCGTTCGTCGTAATAGCCCTAATCGGGCCTTGCCGACCAATCTGATATATCACCACCCATATTCTGAGCCCCTTTTCTGTTTGAATCAATTTTCTTTCTTTTTCGGTTAATGGCTGTCAGTTTTCACGAAAAATGAATGTTTTTGTTTTGCTTAGGCTTGTCTCTGATGTTGGATGTGCTGATCAGAGGTTTGTTTTGTATGTTTTGGCCAATGATTAAATGATTGAATATAGACAAGCATATGTCTGAAGTTATTCAATGTTGATTCATCTAATCTTCTCTATGAGGCCACCATTTCTACTTTTGAAACCCTTTTTGTGAATCTTTATATGAACTTTTGAAGTTCGTTATGTTTTAAATGTATATTGTGTTTTTCTTCTAATTATTCTTTCATGAACCGATTTTTTCTTCTGATAAATTTTTCACTTTTGATTATTACTTTTCATTGAATGACAATATAAGAAAAAAGATCATAAAAGATTATAAGAATGACAATATAAGAAAAAAAGATAAGAAAAAAGAAATAACAATGACATTATAAGAAAAAAAAGAAGATAACAATGACATTATAAGAAAAAAGATGATAACAAATGACAATATAAGAAAAAAGAGATAAAAAGATTATTTAATAATTTATATAAAATAAAGATGGATATATATTATTATTCATTAAAAAAGAAAAAAATGTGACGTCAGTAATTTCTGAATCTGTACTGATTTAAATACTAAAGTTCCATAAGGATTTGTTGAATAATTTTGAAAAACAATTTAATTTAATCTTACTTTTCTAGTAGAATATGTTTATGGGAAAACGTTGGACGTTTTTGATAACCAAATCAAACATACTTTAATTAATTAATACTTCAGTTTTATTTACATCAATCCGAAATAAAATAATTTTAGATTAAATTGATTACATATTAAATGTGAGAGAAATTTACAATTTAACGATAGTTTAAATAACTAGTTAAAAAATCCAAATTTATTATATATATAGTTTTCTATATTCAATAATTTTTCCCATATCTATTCTTTTTATAAAATTTTTAGATGTGTCTGTGTAAGCCACAGCAACTCATATACTCCAATGCTAAAAAAAATTAAGCAACTCTCTTTAGAATTAAAAAAATCCTCTTAATATTAATTAAAAAAGTTATATTAGTTTTGTCTAAATTTTATAAAGTAATACTAAATTAACACTTGACACACAGTACAAAATAAAATAAATATAAAAAATTAACTTTTATATATTTAAAGAAAAATAATATCAAAATGTAAAAAATTTATGTGATTAAAAATATTATATTAATTAAATATTTCTTACTAATGTGTGTATTATACTTTTGTTATTTTTAAACTGAAGGAATGAAAAAGGACAAAACAGAGAAACTGCAGTGGCAGTAGTACACTGGAATGTGTATCTGAAAAGCACCAAACGACGTCGTATCAAGTTTTCAGATTCTTTCTGTAAATACTGTATCTGTATCTCACACGACATTGCACAAACTTCCTTAAACCAACAGCTGTGAATGATTCATTATCAATCACTCTGTTCTGTCTCACTTCACTAAACCTTCTTCTTATGTGTTCTCTCTCATTTTCCCCATCATCCCAATTCTTCACCTTTTCCTCTGCAACATTCAATCCATCACTTTCTTCCTTACCCACCACCTTTTCTTTCTACAATTTCAGATTCCCTCACCCGGCAACCGTTAAATTTCTCATCTTGCTGCAGGATTTTCATCTGGGTCATTTTTTCAGTGCACCACCATGATGCACGCGAAGACCGACTCCGATGTCACCAGCATGGACACGTCGTCGTCGCCGAAGCGCGCCGTGTACTACGTGCAGAGTCCGTCGCGGGATTCTCACGACGGCGACAAGTCCTCGACGATGCACGCGACGCCGGCGTTTAACAGCCCCACGGACTCGCCCTCGCACCACTCCTTCGGCCACCACTCCAGGGCGTCCTCTTCGAGCAGAGTGTCGGGGTCCTTCAACATTGCCACTTGGGGGAAGAAAGCGAACCGCAAACGTGGCGGCGAGAAAGGGTGGCCGGAGGGCAAGGTGATTGAGGAAGAGGAAGGGTATTATGGGGAGAGAGAAGGATTATCTAGGAGGACTCAGATCTTCGTTGGGGTTGTTGGATTGGCCTTGATTTTCACTATGTTTTGTTTGATCATTGGTGTGGTTGCCAGGCATTTCAAAGTTCGTGTCAGTGTTAAGGTACAGCGTACCAGTGAGTGACATGGATGGTTGATGCTGTTTTTTAAATTCAAGAATATTGCCACTTGCTTTAATTTAATTTTAAATTCAGTAGATAAATGCAGGGTTGACTTTGAGCGTGTGTATTATAGTTTATAATAATGTTTACTTTTAAATTGTGTTAATTAGAGAATAGATCTTTTAATGTTTGTCTAATGTAGTAGTTAGTAGGAATCGATTACTGTATGTATTTTGCAGCAGATTTGGGACCAGAGGGGTTTGACTCTAACAGAAGGATTAGTCTCTTGTAACATGATAAACTAATTATTTGTTAAAAGAGATACTAATGTTCAGTGTGTGATATGCTTTTCAACAGAACTATTTTTGAAGGAAGACACATGTAAGAAAAGATAGATATGGATTTAGGGTGATGTGTGAGACAAGAAAGAATATTGAATGAGACACTCATGTGGTGTGATTTGTGAAACTGAGACTAGACTTGTTATCTGTTAGGAGAAAGGTACATTCTGGAGATAAATAAGAAAAATAAACGAAATTTGTTTACTTGTATTAGCTTCCTAATAAAACATATCCTTAATGGTTAAAGTCATAGTCTCGTAGCATATATAGTCCAAGGATTGTTTGGGATAAAAAGTTACTGCAGTTGATTTACTGGAATTCTGGAGATGTGACAGAAATTGTGTTTAGGTTTTATGTAATCATCTAGTTTCAGTGATGTTCACTTATTTATTGCACACTTGTAAAGCTATTACTCTAACAACATATTTTTTTAAAGAAAAATAGGCATTGGAGAGAAGAGAAGATAGAGTAGAAGTTGAGATCATGAGAATTATATTTACAGAAGGACATTGATTGAGTTCAAGATTATGCAAGTTGTGCCTACTCATTGATTCTTTGTTTGTTCATTCTTTTTAATTTTTCCTGCTAATTTAGAATTGCTTGTACCTCATACTCACAATAAGTGCCTTGTTAAAAATTTTAATCTTCATTTATCCACTGCTGGTTATATATCCTTATAGGTTACTGTTATTTCTTTGCAGAGTTTGACATTACACAACTTCTACTTCGGAGAAGGAGCAGACATGACAGGAGTACCATCCAAGATGCTGACAGCAAATTGCTCAGTGAGAATGAAAGTGCATAACCCCGCAACCTTTTTCGGCATTCATGTCAGCTCTAAGGAAGTAAATCTCATGTATTCAGAGATCACAGTTGCATCTGGTGAGGTAAGAAAATAAACTCTAATATCAAAGACTGGCCACTGCTGTTTGATTGAGAAGGGTTGGTTTGAGAGTAATGCTATAGTTCTGCTTCTAATGTTGATAATGACCACCATTCTTAACTGTTAAATTCCATGTTTACATACACATTGCTGCAGCTGAAGAATCAATATCTACCGAGAAAGGGTACACGGAATGTGTCTGTGAATCTGCAAGGAAGCAAGGTTCCTTTGTATGGTGCTGGTGCAAGTTTAACTGGCTTGGTGGACAATGGAAAAGTACCTGTGACTCTTGTATTTGAAGTTAGATCAATAGGGAATGTTGTTGGGAAGTTGGTGAGGTCCAAACATAGAAGGCATGTGTCTTGCTCAGTTGCTATTGATTCACACAACAATGGACCCATCAAACTTAAAGAGAATGCATGCACATACAATTGAGTGGTTTTGGTTTAGCAGTAACCAGTTTCCTGTGTGCCTTTTCAATTCATTCTGCTGGTTTTGTATTTGCCGTGAAACAACAAATAGGGTGACAGAAATACTATAGTTTATATTATAGATAGCTTTGGTGGTGCAATTTTGGGGAACATGAGATTTGAAAATCAGTTTATTGGAATAGTATAATCTCTTTTCCCTTCTTCCTACCTGTTGGCGTCTGGTTTATCTGCCATTTGGTCATACTTTTTTTCTTCTGATTTTAAAAAAATAAATAAAACCCAAGAGGACATGATTGGCTAGTGAAGAATTTAAGAGTAAATTAAACTATGCATGACTAATTTTTGTATTTAGTAGGAATTAAAATACTTTATCCAAAAGAAATTAAAATCTAATAAACTTAAATCGTCTTATTTAAGTTAAACATTTGAAAAAAAATTTAAAATTGCAATTACAATATATTGGAATTTTCTAAAAAAAATTAAATTATCTGCCGAAGGCTATAATATTATTTGGGATTACGTTTTCTAAAACTGTGGTATGAATTTGGTAATCTGAACCTATGAGAAATTCAAACTGTTAAAAGAGAACGTTAATATTGAAATTTAACATCTTACGTCATAGAGGGCGGAGTGAAAATTATAGAATGGAAGAATGAATACCTTAAACTGAATCCAACACTCATTACTTGATAATGCATTAAAAAAATAAAATTATTCTGTTGATCGTCATTCTAACATATTTCCAAGCACATCTAATTCACATTGTTTAATATTCTAGTCCGTAGGTATTATCCTGACCTTATCTAGCTGCCTAGAGGAGAAAAAGAAGAATAAAAAACGAAGTGAATCTCACCCAAAATTTGGAGTCAAAAAAACACGTACTCAGCACTTTCAAACAGTGACAAATCCGAGGCAAAAAAGACGAAGGAGAATAAAACAAACCGATAAACTCAAAAATATTCAGAAGATCCAGGAACTAATCTCTCAAATTCTTCATCTCCACATCTAATGAAGCTAATATTAGTTACATCACAAAGTACATAAACACCAGCAACTAATACATTCCTCCAATTCTATCTCGTCCCATACCACGCCTATCATCTCTTCCACGGCTGACAAATGTATCTCGACGATAATCTTTAGGTGGTAGGCCACCTCTTATTGGAGAACGGCTTCTCTCTCTCACATCACGAGCCCACCGACCATTGCGATGGTGAGGAAGGGAAGGCAAAAGAGGTGCAGGGGGTGACAGTGGCCTCCTTTCAAATCCTTTCCTTTCATCAGGGAAGGCATCTCTTCCACGGTCTCTGTTATCCCATTCCAGTGGAGGTGGTGCTCTATCAAACTTGTTTCTCCCCCTATAGGCATCTTCTATGTAATCCATTCGCTCTCTACGGACGTGTGGGTCTGGAAACCTGCTTTCTTGCCTGAGGGGTGGCAGAGCAGCAGATCCATACTCTCTAGGGCCATCTCTTGCCAGCCCACGAGGTGGAGATCTATAGCCATTCAGAGTCCTTTCAGGAGAGCGGTCAATGGGAGGTCCAGGATAGCGTCTAGGAGGAGCGTGAAGTGGTGGAGGTGCAGGATAAGCCCTTCGGGGACTTCTAGCAGGGGCATTGCGAGATCTATTACAGCTGTTACAGTGGTCACGCCTCGCAAAGTTAAGATTACCACACCTGCAAAATAGAAGAAATCATCTCCAGTCTCCACAAAATGACTAGCTATTTGGATATTTAATAAAACCCAGAATTCTAAATTTCAAAACTTTGGCTTGAGTAATCACAATAAAAAGTAATTTCAATCATGAAAATCTGATCACGATCAAAATTCAGAAAGAATTGTGAACTTACAAGGGATCGGGACAAAACCAGTCTCCCTCTCTAGGACGCACATTGGGATTATTTCTACCATTGGTTTCCCCTCTAGCAAGTCCAGAAACAAAGCCATGCCCATCAAAAGCTCTACCTATTGGCCTACCACCTACCCTACCTCGACCATACGGAGGTGAAGGGTGTCTATATCTTCCAGGATCTCTCCCACCACCGAATCCACGGCTTCTTGACAGGTAATTATAATCAGAACCAAAACGGTGATCTGCATCTCTTCGGTGAACTGGAGAGGAGGAACCTGCACGAATTCTATATCCTGGGAAAACAAAGACAGCAAAGTTTGAGGATAAGTGACTTACTGGAAGTGTGGGAAAATTCAGCATTGCAATCTACAGTAGAATCCAATAATATTGTGATAATGCAACTGTCATATAATCAGTTTGATATTCCAAAGGGGAAGGCTATCTATCACCACACAGGGCTCCTCCTCCTCATAGATATGAAAATTAAAAAGTGTGAAGAGCGCAGGAAGTTTAGATCATAACACCTTCAATGTCACATCCCAAACACCAGATCCATACTACCCTAAAGCAAACAAGTTCTATGAGCAAAATTTTCCACTAAGTTACTTCCTTTGTATGGTTGACACCAATTCTTTCCATCTCCGAATGCTACCATACTATAGTTAAATGAACAAATCATGGAACCTAACAATCTGAAATATCAAATCCAAATTCAAATTTCAGAGCAACAACCAAGGCACTGCAGTATGTATGAGCCCAGTTCAAAATCTGGTTACAGGTATGAACTAACCCTAATAAAACTAATCCAAATGAATCATGATAAAAATTGGACCATCGTCATTTCCCCCCTTGGGAAGTTACTAAACTCAGGAGCACAAGATCAAAGTGTATGCCACAAGTATATAACCACCAACAAACACCACCAGTGTGTGAATAATCCCAAATTTCAATGCCTTGTTCCAATCAACCACTTGCTGGACTCGTTTTGGAACCATTTCTATTAGTATGTTATGACAGCCAGCCAAAAAGTAGATTTGAGCAATATAGTTGACCAGTTTGCAGAACATCATACACAGGAATGGTTCGGGCAGATAAATCCCATTGAAGCCATCAACAATGATGCCAGCAACCAATGCACCCTTTTTTCGGGATATTATTGATCCCCAGTTAACTTCAAAACAAGAGGAGAAATAAATTGGACAAAAAGTGTATTCCTAAGAGGATATGCATCTCTTTTCTGCACCATGTTGGTGTCCTCAGTCAATGGATCAACATGAAAAAAAAAATAATAAGGATTCAGCAGAAGCTATGCAAAAAGTTCTTAAACTTCGATTGTGGAATTACTATACTGGAAAGAAGGCTTCCATGTTGTGAATAAAGAAAAATCTGAATCATCCCTAATTAACCACTCAACGAAGAAAATCCATATAAACTAAAACGACAATCACCAGCCAAAAAAATCATTGCAAGGACTATTCCAAAAGTAACCCAGTACGAGGAATTGAAAAAACCAGGCGTTCAACAGCAAAATAACCAAATATAATAGATAAGATACTATGAAGTATCATCAGTAAACATTGTCTTTCTGAAATGTCAGCTCCAGTAAACGTAGCAAATAAGCAATCCACCCACCCACAAACACATCTTGTGGAAGAACCTAGAAATACCAGCCATCCACTGACTATAACTGCATGTTATTCACCAAAACCAGTTTGTAATAGGCAGTTTTGCTCTCCTACAGAAGCTATACAACAGCTTGATTACAGATGTTCCTAAACTTCACTTGTGAAATATTACTATTCTGGAAAGCAGCCTTCCATGTTGTCAACAAAGAACCATCTGAATTATCCCTAACCAACCAACCAACCAAAGAAGAAAAACCCATAGAAAACAACCAGCAGCAAAAGAAACTATCATTGCAACGATTATTCCAGAAGTAACCCAATATCCGGAAATGGAATAACCAGGAGTCCAATAACACAAATCAAATATAACCAATAACACTAGGAAGTTATCATCAGTAAACATTATCTTTCCAAAACGTGAGGTCAGCTTCCCCAATTAACCATAAGCTATTCACCAAAAGCAATGTAGTCAGTTTCAGCCCCCTACCAATCCTGTAACCATATTCATGTTCTAGTACATTGCCCACACTGTACCTTGTATGTCAATAACTTCAAATTGTATCTCAGATTGCTTTAAACTCAGCATTGTGTTAACTTTGACAGATATCCCAAACCAAACACATGACCGTGACTCAACTAGGCAAATGAGAACCCATGCAACAGATTCTGTGCTGCAAAAGCCCCCACAAGTATGTGTAGAACGGACTATTTCAATCATCCAACCCACTTATTAACCCTTCTATATTATAAAAATCTCAGAATATGACCCAAAGTGGAGTTCATGGTAACAAGCCTTCCCGAAGGCCCAGGATCTTGCAAGCAACATCAGAGCTGTAACACACAAATGCAAAGTTTATTCACAGTAGACACTCCATAATCGATAGGAGAGCCATATGTGGGCAAGTACACAACGAATACACAGCAAGATGAGACAAAAAACCCACATCTGTATAGATACAGTCGGTGAAAAGCAAAAAAGAGAAAGAAAACACGAAATGGCAGTTTTCATCTCACCAAACCCCAAAAAAGTAAATATAACAAATTCAAGTAACCAATTCAACATAAATTAAGCTTTACCCAAATAAACTTCACTGACGTGGGTTGGGGTTAATTCCGAGAAAAAAAATGCTTATTTTCCATCATTTCTCTCATAAATCAGTCCTTCTCCAAATCCAATTATACTAGACATGCACTTCAAAAACTTACAACTACAACAAGAAAAAGGATTTTCGATTATCCACACATTTTGTTATTATCAGTGAACAAATGGCTAGATTATCGGTGTTATCGACAGTCAAGTTAATAACCCAATCAGATCCCAATATGCGAATGCCTATATACACAACAATATAAATTTCAGATTCAAGAAAAAGGGAAACAATATATTCTCAACAACAAAGCCCTGTTCCACTGGATGGGATTGGAAACATGGATCACACCTCGCCCTTCAGCTGAGTTGAAAACGATGTATATAGTTCAATGAAACAACAAAACCAAACAAATCACAAACTCACCAAATTATCACCGCTTTCAATCATTACTCCATTTTACACCGTACCACATTCCTATTTTCTTATTCACAAACCAATTCAACAGCAGCAAGGCACATAAACCGACAAAGCCAGTTCCCAAATCGATATTCCGAAACGGAAATTTTAAAAAACCTAACTCAATACCCGCATCATTAGGCAATAGAGACGAGAAACGAAACAAACCAGGCTCATCGGAATATCGGTCAGAGCGAGAATAGGGAGGAGGATGATCCCGGTGGAGTTCGCCGGGCTCGAAATCAGCGGCGCGGCCACCGGCGGCAGCCTCGTTGTGGGAAGGGCGGACGACGAGGCTGCTCAACAGAGGCTGGTGGTGATGCGGCGGCGCTTGTTCCTTGTCCCTGGAAGAAGCCATTATGATAACTATGCAGACTGCAAAGAAGGTTATTATAGCTTTTTTTGTTCCGATTATGATCTATCTGTTTCTCCTCAGCATATAAACCCTAGATTCATTATATGCAATAATTAACCATTGGCGTTTACTATATTTTCAATTGAAATCACACAAAATCGGTTTTTTCTAAATTTATTGTGCAACTTTTTTTTTTTTCAAGGGTAAAATTTTTTAATCTTATTTTTGTATTTTACAAATAAATTATTAATTTGTTAAACAAAAATAGAAAAAGAAAAACGAAAGAGAAGTGGAAGGTAGATTTTAACTTCTATCTGCACCCCATAAATTCATCATGCAGATTCTCTTTTATCAGCCCTTTCTTTCATCGGCCATTTCTTTCTGCACCCCATATGCACTCATCGGATTGATAAAAGACGAAACTACCCCTATCCCTAGCAACCATTGCCACCAGTGTCACTTTCTTGCCTTTGTTTATGTGACGTGTCATAAATCAACTCAAAGAAAAAGGAAATATATATTTTTGAAAATTATTTTTTATTTTCATATATAATTTTTCAAAATTTATGTGTTAATTAAATCATCAATTTTTATTTTGTAGACCCTCCTAATAACCACGTTGATCACCTAACTTAAACATCATGATGTGATATTGAAAGTGGTGCACGAGTGAGAAGAAGACAAGATCTAGACCATTAGTCTCAGAGGTGGTCCCTTCACTCAACGCAACTGACATTTTATTTATGATTCAAGAAACAACCAAAAGCACACTTGTCTTCATCCTAGCCCTACACTTAACTACTCCATTTTCTTAATAAAATTTAATTAATTATGAAAAAACACTTATTAGAAATTACTGGTTAGTAATGAAAAAATTTTAAAAAATTATGAAGATAAAAAAATATTTAAATTAATTTAAACTTAATATGATATGAGAGAATAAATTTAAAATATTTATTATTTGTTAAACATATTTATTGAATCATTTTCGTATAAACCAAAGATAATATTAATTTATATAACTAATTTTATGATATTAAATTTTAATTAAGTTTAATTTTTTTTACGTATTAAATATTACGGTCATTTATATCTTATAAAATTATCTTGTCTCTTCCAACTAATTTCATAATTAAAAAGGTAAAATCTTTCACCTTTAACCATTAAACTCTTCTTAATCAGTAATTATAATTTGATTAGAAGTGTTTCGGTGTTCCTGCTAAACTGTTCCTTTCTTCCTTTCTTTTTCACCCAACGAAGGAAACAACAAACCAGTATTCGTCAATTGGATTCCTTCTGTTTCCCTCTGTTTCCCTCTGTTTCCTTCGCGAATCACCACCAACCCACCGCGCACGTTAGCGACATCGCTTTCGTTTTGCGGTTGGTAACCGTTTATCTTTCACCACTGTAACTATTTATTTCGATCTTCCCAACGCTAACAACCTCGCTCTGATTCTCCTTCACTCCTCCCTCTTTCTCGTGACCGGACGGAGGATTACTCATCGGATTGCCGCGGTATTCACTTCATCCTTCTCTTTTTCAGCTCAGGTTTCGTTTTCTTTTTTCTCTCTCTGCATTTTCTTCACTTTTTTCTGCTCGTTTGATCTTGTTTTACGTTATTTTTCGTGATAAATTGCTCGTAAACTTTGTTCTGTTTCCTTTTTATTTGTTTCTGAGGAAAACAGGGAACTTGTTTTCTGCTTAGGATCATCAAATTAGTCAATGTTTTCTGCAGAGTGCATATCTGAAAAGCGATTGTGTATTTTTAAGGTTAAGTGTACGGATAAAGAAGTAAATAAAGTTTGATTATTTGCAGATAAACTGTCCATCTAGCGTCAATCTAGCTTGTTTTAGGTGATTTTCATGTGAATCAGTCCGGTAGAGATAGACTGCTAATAGTATGGTTTGTGAGTTTTAATCTTGACAGTTGATGTTTGAATCTGTCTGATGAAGTTAAGTTGCAATATAGGTATTGTTGGTAAATTTATGTTGTGGGTGGTTGAAACTTTTCCAAGCATTCCTGCTGCAGCTATGGTCAATTACGTATGCAGAACATACTTGAATTTCAACTTCAGCTTGGTTTATATTTTTTTTTTCTTTGCTGGTTTTTCATGTGATGTATTTAGTTGACGACTATTTTAAATACATATGTTTAAAAATGTTACGTTCTAAATTTTGAGCTATGATTGTTCATGAAGCAGACAGGTAAAATATTGTCTAATGTGGCTGGGGCATCTTCGTGAAAATTCTTCCATGTACAAGCGTGCTCCTTCCAGAGATTATTCAAGCATGGATGATGTGGAAGAAAACTTAGGTATGCACCCTTTATTCAAACATGGAGTATGCATTCCCGGTTTTTTTGTTTATCTGGCATCTATTAATTCCATTTCGTTGTGGAATACCTAACTTAAAAAGTAAAAACCTTTGCAAGGAAACTATTGCCATCTTTCTAGCCTAATGATTGAAGATTTCATTATTCAGAAGAATTGGCAGTTCATGTAATCTTGATGTAAACAATAGCTATGCTGTTGCGATTGTCTCTCTTATTGACGATAGACAATTTCAATTGGAAGCGATCATGAAATTGGCAGTAGAAACGATGGCTTGGGTTTGTGATATACTGCAAATTCTGTTAGGTCTTCGATCGTGGTGGTTATTAACTATGCTATTTTACTTCTTGATAGATATTTTGGATAACGGCTTGGATAAGGGAACCTCAAATCCTTCATGGAAGCTTTCCTTACCTCATGTACTTGTGGCGACCATTTCTTCATTCCTTTTTGGATACCATCTCGGGTTTGTACTTTCTTAGTTTCTCCTTCTTGTTGCACTCTCTTGGATTGTTTGCTTTATAATCTAGAATCGAATGAAGACTTAAATTTTGATATTTTTGTGTTATATTCAGAGTTGTTAATGAACCACTCGAGAGCATTTCTGTGGATCTTGGTTTCCATGGAAATACGTTGGCAGAAGGTGGAAATGAAGATTCCAAAACCTGTGTTCAAATTAATTGCCTATTGTAAATTTCCCATTAATAGAATTGATTTTTCCCCTTTCAAATGAAGGTCTGGTGGTGAGCATATGTCTTGGTGGTGCCTTGATTGGATGTCTACTGAGTGGTTGGATTGCTGATGGGGTGGGACGGCGTAGGACTTTCCAGTTGTGTGCTCTGCCAATGATAATTGGTGCTTCTATGAGGTTACACTTCTCGTTAATATAGAAATTGTTTGTTTCATTTTATTTTTCTCATGGGGTAAACGGAAATTTTCTTTACACTTTATTCAACCAATTTGTTGGTTTCAATTGTTTTCTCTGGGTTTATCTATGGACTACTATGGAAACATAGAATGGTTTATTACTTCTATTTTGTGTCCTCTGATGTAATAGCATAAATGCACCTCATTGCCATCTTTATGGTTTCCATATGGCCTCTTTACCCATTATGATATCTTCAAGTTATTTTGTTGGTTCTAAGAAAGAATTCAAGCCTTCTTTCATATATTTCACGCATATGATGTCTATAATAATTAAATAACATGGCATAACGTATCTCCATTTCTATAAATTTATAGATTACGAGTGGGCAGCAAGAAGACCTTTTAGTTTTGATTTAAGGGGGCCCCAAGTTTAAATTCCCTTACTATTATTTCACTACTTTCACTTTGTTCAAATGAAAATTTTTTACTTTTATGTTTTCCAATACAAATTCTTAGGACTATTTCTTATTGGAAAATGGTGCATTTTCAGTGCAGCTACAAACAACTTGTTTGGCATGCTTGTGGGAAGGTTGTTTGTTGGAACTGGCTTGGGCCTGGGCCCTCCCATCGCCTCTCTGTATGTGACAGAGGTATGTTGATCACTAAATTGTTGCATCTGTCTCATTGACTAGGATGAAAGTTAACTTGATTATTCATGTGGTTACTCTCTTAAATGGCAGGTTTCTCCTGCTTTTGTGCGGGGAACCTATGGAGCTTTCATCCAGATTGCAACATGCCTTGGTCTAATGGGAGCTTTATTTATTGGAATCCCTGTCAAAGATATACCTGGATGGTATCATATCAACTTACTTCATGTCATGATGTTACATATTTTTATTCATGATTTAAAAATTCACCCTGAATTTTTTCACGCAGGTGGCGGGTTTGTTTCTGGGTATCTACCATTCCAGCTGCTATACTCGCTGCAGCTATGGTCTTCTGCGCAGAGAGTCCACATTGGTTATACAAGGTTGATGCCTATTCTAATATTATTTCATCTTTGATAGTATCTCCTCATATTTATAACTTTCTGTTTCTACATTTGTTTTGAACCCTTGAAGTCTCAATGTTAACCATGCTAACTAATTCTCAATATCTATTTCCTTCCTATCAAACATTATCACTTCTTTGCATGTCCTCTCTATCCCATTTAATAGAAGACATTAGGAGTAGTGTTGTAGTGGCTAACATTGCCCATGTCGCTTTTTATCCTTGTCAGGCATAGTTTGGAATAATTTTGGTTTCTTATCACTCAACAATACAATAAGGAGGACCATTAATATTTGATGTTGTAGTTCTTGAAAAGTTCATTCTTACTCGTAATTTTGAGTGCTCATCCCTTGATCCATTTGACTTCTATCCTTCATTTAATGCTTGATTATTCCTCTTTGTTGTGATGTAGCAAGGAAGAACTGCTGAAGCAGAAGCTGAGTTTGAGAGACTGCTAGGTGTATCAGAAGCAAAATTTGCTATGTCAGAGTTATCAAAGGTAGATAGAGGAGATGACACTGATTCTGTGAAGCTGTCAGAGTTGCTACATGGTCGTCATTCTAAAGGTATGTATTTTCCTGATTTGTCCCTAGGATTGTCGTGAGTAGACTTGCCATTGTTGTTCTCTTGATACCGGTTTGCTTATGTTTCCCAAAGTTATTTTTTATTCACGAGTTCGTTTTGCAGTTGTTTTTATTGGATCA